AAAGAGAAGAGGGGAATTGAGCAGATGTAGATGTCGATTTATCAGTGGAAGTGTGACAGGGATCTGGATTATACCACATCTTCACTTCAGAGAATATTGAACACAGACCAAGAAGGAGAGCGAAGAAGTAATAACCGACTTCAGTTCAATGAGGCACAGTTCTGGGGCTTCATTTGAAGTGACACTAACTCTGCAGGAAAAATACAGCATGCTCATTCATTTAAATTTAAATTAAAATAAAAAACGGAGCTTGGCAAACGCAATGTGACATCTTTTGGAAGGCAGAGCTGTGGCCTGCACTGTTTTAACACTAGAGGATTTTCAGTTTGACTGCCTCTTAAAGGCACAGTGCACAACATTTAGCAAGGCTATTTACTAGGACTGTCAAAATTATTGTTCACTGTGATAAAGTAAAAAAAAAAAAAAAAATCTTATAAATCCATCTACTTTTTGTTGCTCTAACATACTATGGATGCAGGAAAAGATTTTCATTTCACTGAATCACCAGGATCTTAAAATCCCATCATCAACTCCCAGCGTGTGTCTTCAGTCTCAGGTCAGTGGGCCGGCTTGTGTCAGAGCAGCCTGACTGAGATCAGAACAGTCAGTAAGTCTACTACTCACAGTCTGACTGACACAACACTCAAATGGATTCAGGACAGTAGACTGATTAATATTGTTGATGACTACAACTAGACTGGAGTTTAGAAAGAAACTCTGCACACGTTCTACAAGACACCGTCCAGATGAACAGTAATGACTGAAATACACCAAATACACTCTATGAAGAGACATTTTCCCTGGAGATTCTTAGGGACATTTTTTTCAGATTGTTAATGAAAAGTTTTATTGGCATATTTTAGAAATGTTGATTTATCTTGATTTCTTACGTGTACTCAATATTAAATAAAATCACAATTAATCATTGTTATGAATTTCACAACTCTCCTGTGATTAATCAAATACAAACATTTTAATCATTCATTAGTCCCTGTATTTAGTTTTCCCACTGAGGGAACATTTGTAGCAAAGACCTGCTCCTGATGTAAATAAAATAGGGTTTAGTTAGGGTTAAGAAGAACCTGGTCTCTTATCAACAATTAAGTCTTGTGTGCAGAAACATTTGACACTTAAGAACACACCTCTCCCACCTATTACCTTATTAACTTATCATAAAATACACAACAGAAAGGCTGAATCTTTTGATAAGTGCGTGGCTGCAGTGTTTACTGTGTAAAGATGTAGCTGCTAAGGCAACAGGTAGGTCTACAAACTGGGTTGGCTTTGTTGACCAATCACAAGCAAGTAGACTAAACCTGTTCCCCTTGTAAACCAATGGACACGTGGCCTTACCAAGTAAACACACAACTGTTTTGATGCATCTTACCAACCATACCAATAAATTAACTCTCCAATAAAGGGAAGAGAGAAAGACAAGCCAAAAGAGCATGAAAATGATGAAGCAGAGGCAAACTATAAAAAGTTGGAAAATGCCTTGTAGCCTGATAGTTTGGAGGTGAAAGGGATTGTTGATAAACTGTATAAGCAGAACATCACACCGTACATCATGGCTGCTTGTGGCTGAAGGAGATGGATTTAAGTTTTTGGCCTTGGCCAATGGATGAATCAGGTTTTCTTCTTCCTAATGCTTATTTCTTTCCTAGGCAGTGCTTATTTCAGGCAATTTAAATTGGTTTTGAATTTCGGACTGGTTCAAAACCAGTCTGAAAGTGAAATTATCTAAATGGTGTACATAATTCTGGCATTTAGAACAGTCAGAATAAGAAGAGGTACAATATTTGTCCAATCAGATGTTGATGTTTTCTCATGGTGCCAGTAAGAGCACTCAACACACCATACCGATATGCTAATATGCTAACCTAACTTTAGGTGTATTTTCTTGCTTTGGTCCAAACTTACGCCAAAATCATATGACACCAAGCGATGTCTATGTGTTCAAGACCCAAACATGTAATACTTGAAAAAAAATTTAAATGACAAACATGGCTAAAAATAGGCCTAGTTACTGTTCATCCAATAAGGATTGAAGAAAGCTCCCGCACTTCATTAGTGACAGTTCAGAGCTTGAGACACAAAAGCCAACAGACTGGACACAGTGGATGAAGTAGTGAAGCAAAACCAAGCAGTTGTACGTAAACATGGTTTTAAAGTGGCGGCAGAAAAACACAAGTGCAGAGAAATGAAGGAGGGGTGAAGGGGAGTGGAGAGAGAGCAGTGAGAGAGAGAGTGCTGGCCTGGCACAATGAGTCCTACTTGTTAGCCAGTGACAGTGTCAGGGATCGTGACAGGGTCCAGACGCTAGACACCAGCTGCAGCGCCTCTTAAATAGACTGCTGTCTCGCAGGCACATTTGCACAGCAATACTAACACACACACACACACACAACACATGCACCCACAGGCATGTGGGCACATGCATATACTACAGCAGGCACATAGACTGACACTGACTTATTGTCTCTCTCAAATCTTGTAAAGGGGACAGTGAACGTCTTTGTGCCTTGTGCCATATTCAGACACGTTACATGCATGCACAAAATCAACACTGTTCAGGGTTTTCCCTATTCTTTGATGATGTGCTGCTACTCTTGTTTGTATTGTGTTGATTCTATCACTGTGATATTCTTGTTTTACTGGTGCTGTAGCTTCAATTTCCAGATCGGAAAGGGATCTAACTATAACAGATGCATATCAAATATATTTTACACTTACCATAAAGTTAGGTGTTTAACTGTATTCCAATGTTGGTCAAGGTCCATAACTTTCCTAAAACAAAACTGGGTACATTTTAGTAAATCTTTTTTTGTGCTTTTAAAATAAAGTCAATGTCTGTTGTTTGCATGCAAGTGTGCATTTTTCCCTCCCTCCTCTGTGATAATGGGGGGGGGCAATGTGTCTTATATAGAAGTCAGAGAGAGACAAAACTGAGGAGAAAAGGCAAGAGAGCAAAAAAGAGTGAAGAGTTTCGGGAGAGAAGGGGAGGCGAGCTGAGGGGGGAGGTGAAAGGGTTAAATGTGCGGGACTGATCCTGCTGAGCCAGCAGCAATACGTTAAAGTGCAAGGTTTCATTGTAGCAGATACAGAATGAAACTCCTTCCCATTAGTCACGCTAGTAACTGAAAAGACTCTGTGCACAGCTTAACCCTTTACTGCACCGCAAACAAACCACAGCAGCAACACAGGTGAAGCCCTTAATTAGTCGCTGCAGTGAACGGCTTTTCTGTTTGTGCGTGTTAACTCTAAACGGACACTGACATGACATGAGGGACGTGGAGTGAACAAGTGTGCACAAGCACCCACTCAGAACCTTTCAAACTTCATATCATGTCTATATTCACACATGCAGCTCAGACACTGTGACTTCTGAGGAGGGATTTGGCTTTTTCTAAACTTGATCTCACTTTGTTTCTCTCTCGCTCTGTTTTTCTGTCTCTCTCTCTCTCTCTCTCTACCATTGAGCAAGCCTCCCACGCCATGCTACGGTGCACACCGTCTCTGAGGGGCTCGGGGAGGAGAAGGCAAGCATACCCTTCCTCCCGTTTAGAGCAGGGCAGGACCATAATCATCATAATTATCATCTTCATCACACTGCCTCCACCAAGACACACCACAGAAAAGCAAGTGGTGCAGTGACGAAACAATGGAACAAACTAACCGCATAAACAGAGCCATAATGGGAGGACGTAAGGTGAATCGGGTCGTTACAGAAAAATAAGCTAAAGTGGGGGGGATTAAATTCTGCTAGTTTTACCAAAAGAATTGTTATTCCTTTTTGTTGACCCAGATAAACTGTAAAGGATGAACACAGACTCATTTTATCAGCTTACATTTATCATACGGACTCAAACTTTAAACTATACATAAAGTCAAGTGACACCAATAGTTAGGGTTAAAGACTAAGAACTCCTTCACTCTTCTTTCTCTTTATATTATTGGAACTTCTCCAGAACGTGGACCTTCACTTTCTGGACAAGACATATGTGCTAGATTGCACTACCCTCCAGACCATTACTTTTTCTGTGTCATATAGAGAGAGAGAAAAAAGTCATTTGATTGCAATTAAATCAAAATGTACCATGAGAGGCTTCTGATCAGAACACAGAACCCTGTGGTTTGTTTTCACTTTTAATAGGGCAGTCAGCTTATACCTGCTGGTATTATCCGAGGGAAACACTGAGGAATAACTGATATCACTCATTATATCTGAACACCTGCAAGTGCTAATGTTAGATAACACTGACTGTAAGGCTACTCACAGCTGCTTCTGGGACAATTAACATGCTGAACACATTTTCACCTTTGGTTCTTCCACCTCTTCAAGGACATAAGTTCTAAAAAACCAAGAAGTTGTCTCACTAAAAAAATGGTTGCCTAGAACTTACTCTCTTTGGATTTTGGTTTTCTCACTCATTCAGGTAAAAACCAGGTGAGACACAGAAAAAACAGAAAAAATACCATTACTGTTCAGGAAATGTCACTTTGCCTCTGAAATGTTTTGTGAATTTAAAAGCCTTTCTTGTTATCTCTGGTTACCTACTGAACTTATTGCTAAGTCTGCACTTCACGCATTCGTCTAAATTCCTAAAGTCAACACTCAAAAAAACTGAAGTTATGTATATAATTCTACCTAACGTTATTCTGTGGCAGAATCTAAACGACCTCATCTCACCATGTCAAATTATAGTTCCATCACTATTTCAACAGTCCCTGGTACCACACCAAAGTGGTATTAGACTGGGAGGGAAAACAATAGCAAGAATATTGCAAGCACACTTGAGGGTTACACAGCAACAATCTAAATGAAATGCCCAGGAAGACGTGGTGACTGAATGATCTTAATATCTGCTACAGTGGCAGAAAAAATAAATGAAAATCACATTAAAAATCAGAATCTTCAGTGAACTCCTGGAGGTGTTCAGTTAGTTTGGATCTCACTAACTCACCGAGTTATATGTATCAGTTATCAGAGATTGTCTTACCCCAGTCTTGTCACAGAGCCTCAGGGTGTTAAAAGAGCCCACAGCAAACACTTCTCCGTCTGGAGACCAGGACACAGAGGTGACTGGGTAGTCATGAGGTGATGAAGAGTACAGCAGACGACCGAAGCTGTCCCATACCTGTCAAAGGACCAGAGAGATTAAGGGGAAACTGAACAACACCAACAACATCCAAGAATGTTAAGAGGTAACTCTCTGACACTGCTCACCTTATATTTACAATCTTCTCCCCCTGAAAGGATGAGGTCATTGACTGAATTCCAGTCCACCTTCAGAATGATGCCATCATGGGCCTTCCACTGGACAGACAGGACGAAACAGCACAGTCCGTTTTTTTATTTCTGTCTACAGAACATAATAACTGGGTTCCCACTAATATGCTGCAGCTGAACCCATGTTTCCTTGGTGCCGTCAATGTCCTACTGTCAGTGACCATAACACTCACAGTCATGTCCCAAATAAAAAACCCTATGCCCTGGACAGCGTATGTGTAATTACAAATAGGGGTGTGCACTGACACGTGTATGGCAACACAATCTGTAGAAAACACACTGTTTCATGCTTCATCAGGTTACTATTGGAACAGAGGGATCTACATTTGTAATCGCTGGAGAAGAAATAAGAGTATTTACAGGATTTTTTGGATAAATACATGACAAATATGATTGTTTCATCACTCAAAGCTCAAATACTAGCATATAGTTCCTGTACAATTAACTAGCGACTGAAGGTTTGAATACAACACAAAAATGAACCAACTCCATGAATATTTACGTTATTGTTAATTCAAAAAATGATAGAGTGCTATAGAGTGCATGAAATGAAACGTGATATTTCATTCATATATTTTTGATATATTTTCTTACACCCCTAATTACAAATGCATTTATTTTCAACCATTGTGAAGCGTAATGTGGAAGAAGGACAGGTTCATAAAGAGCACATTTGATGTAGTAACCACAGTAACGTAACAACAGCAGTAGACTGTTTCATTTTTATACATTTTTAGGTCACAATAGTCTACAGCCTATTTTTGTTTAGGAGAGAGTGAACAAAGGTGAATCTGTGGACAAGAGAGAGAATACATGTGTGCATGTGCTGCGTGTGTGTGAGTACTGAGAGCAGTGCTGAGAAGGTGCACATTAAACTCTCCACTGTTTATCTAAGGTCCCAGGCGCCATTCAGCTCCAAGAAGAGTAATAAACTAATATATATGTGAACAAGAGGAATGGTGTGAAGGCTCTCAGTGTTGAACTCTTCTGTACTGCAGGATCACTCATATAGACATATTATTCCAGTGCACATTGTTTAAACTGTATGTGGCAATGCAAATAAAGAAATCTTGAATTTAATATGAAAAGCCAAATTAAGAGGTGAAATAAAAACCTGGTAAAACAAAGACCTTGGGTGAAAAAAAATCAAATAATAATAAAAAAAATTAAATCTATTACACAAAAGATATTAAACTGTACACATGCATGATGTTAGTGTACCTGCATGACTTTAGCACTAGGCTGCAGAGGCTTTATGATGAGCTGTCTTCCTGATGTGTAAAGAATTCTGTCTGAGTCTGGACCCCAGGCCACAGAGTAAACAGGAGATCCTGGAAGAGATTCACATGAGATAAAGTATGACATAGGTACAATATTAATATTGTACAAGCAAGAAATTCAAATGTTTATAGATGCCACCCAAATGTTTGATATTAGTTAGGTCAGAAGGCAACCTTGCACAACACATATAAGTATAGATATAGTATAGTCTTATTCTAATATATATATATACATATATTTTTTTTTTTTTTTTATTATACCGGAACTTCATCTTGAGCTGCTATTTGTTTTATATTTGCTTTGCTTTTTTTCCTTCTCACTTTTTGCACAATCTATTTGCAATTTTCTTGAATCTTGAATCTAATAAAATGGGTTTTTTTTCTGGCAGAAGCCAAATGGTGAAAGTAATCCAAATGAAACATCAAACTCAAAGTTTAATTCTGACAGTGCACCATAGCATTGACATCAATACAACTTGCAGCTATGAGGAAAAAGAAATATTTTGCTGGTAATTTTTTAAGCAACAAACAAAGACAGACCATTTTCATCACTGGATTACAAACGCCCATCTTCTGGGCCTTTTAGTTTGAGAACATGAAGCAAACAATCTGTGTCTGGGCACCCAGTACTAATAATCCTTATAATCGTTTGCATTGTGCCCTTGTTTTCTGCACTGCATTTTTTCCCCATATGTCAAGAGGTGCTCTCGAGTCCAGGGGGCCCAAAACAATCAGTACCCTCTGTATATGTGTTTGCGTGAGTGCTCACGAGATGGACAGGCAGAGACTGTATGGGTGTAATCGGTGGCAATGTTCAGTGTTGTGTTTACTAAATGCCTGCAGATGGCTGGTCAGTGAACAGCTTCATGTGACTTCTGTTGCTGCGACCGCTTTAAATGTTTTCGCACATAGAAACAAACAACCATTTACACATGAGGTTGGTTATGAGTGACCAGTTAACCCTAAACCACATGTTTTAGACATTGGAGTACCTGATGAAAACCCACACACACCTGGAGAACATGAGACCATAAGTTACCACTGGGACTCAAACCAGTGATCTTCCTAATGTAAGGCAAGAGTGATAACCATCCCTCCACCACGTTTCTTTAAAACACTTGATTAATTTCAAATCACTAGCATTACAATACTAATTACTAAGTATGCAGTGGTGGCTTAGTGGTTAAGAAAGCAGCTTAGGTCCAGAAGGCTTCAGGTTCAAGTCCACCAGGCCAAGTTACCACTGAGGTACTCTGAGCATGTCCCCACACACTTATGCTGCCCACTGCTCACTTTGGTGATGGGTTAAAGGCATAGGTCACATTTCGTTGTGTGTACAGTGGTGTGCTGGGTCACAATGACAAACCACTATTTCACTAAATATGTAAATTGCAAAAACTATTCAACTCTGCAGACCAGAGAGAATCACTTCTTCTGGATGACAACAAAAATACTGTACAAATAAAAGTAGGGAGCAAAAATAAGGTAAAGTAAATTAACAATGTAGTTTTACCTTGACTGATTAGTGTTGAACGCAACATTCCACTTTTTGACCAGATCTTGATCTGACCATCTTCTCCAGCTAGGTCACAAAACCAACAGATTAGACAGAGACACATCTATAAAATGAATGACTAAACCTACCAAATATATCATGTAAATCTCAAGTTACGTTAACCTACGACATCTTAGATCTTTACCTGTGATGAGGGCAGTGCCGTCGCAGTTCCATCTTGCAGCCAAAACTGCTCCACTGTGTGCTTCGACACTCTTCTCTATTCTCCCAACCTTGGAAATCAGGTGGAACTTTCCTGTGAGAGGAAAATATAACATAGACTAAATGTGATGTCTGTGTACTCTGAATGAAAAGGCAGGTCTAATTATTGACCTTTAAAATTAGATTAAAAGTAGTTAGGTAAAATTCAGAAATAATGGATTTGTGCCGATAAATTTAGAGGAAATATTGTACATAATTTACACCAGTGCTGGTCAGGCAAGGAGACTGTTAATAACGCCAGCAGTGCATGATAAGCTTTACTACAGCAAAAAATATAAATCAGCATATACAGTTGGTGGACCCACCCATCAGACACAGTGAATGCATTACGCATAGTGAACTGACTTACGGTACTAAAACCTCAGTAAGTAACTTTTGAAAAAAATACAAAACACTCAAAAACATAAAAATACGTAATCATATTGGGTTAAATTGAAATAAGCAAAGAGAAGGAGAAAGTTGTAAAAGTAAACAGTGACTAGATTGGTTCCTACAGTTTGGTCTGTCACAGAAAATTGCTGCTTCAGTTTGTGGGTGTGTTGATGCAACCCTACACTGCCATTAGTGTTGTGGCCACGCGTTGCCTGTCATCAGTACATGCGTATTCTACGCACTCATATATAATATAAGCCAAAGTGCAAATAATACAATGCTATGCAGACATACATTACACAAAATGTTGCTACAGCTGACATCTATTACACTATTACAAAAAAGAAAAAGTTGTGTTGTCTAACTTTATCAATGCCCATGCAAAAATATAAATACACATAATGCATTCATGGTTACAAGGACATTTTGATTTTCTGTGTACAAACAAATAAACAAACTTGCCATCAGAGCTGGTAAGGACAAAGACTTCAGCCTGCGTCTGTTTTTTGCCACCAACAGTTTTTGGGAACCAGTGTAAGTCGATGGGGTAAATGTCTTCTGGTAGTTTGACGACCAGACTGGTCTCACTAGTCAACAGGTTCCATTTGAGGATTTGGTGGTCTTCACTGCACGAATATAGTTCATCTGCCGTGGTCCAGCCAACACAACTTACAATGTCTTCATGTGATCTACTGTCAAGGAAATGTATACAGATTTATTTTGATTTGTTTACACATCATTTTGTCTAGGATGTGTGTAACAATGCATTTTATAATAAATCATAAATATTCAGATTTCACATCTGTAGAACAAGATATATAGGATTACTGTGTAAATATTCTGAATTCCAATTTTATTTTGAACCAAATCATTTCAATAATTATAATCCTAACTCTTATGTGTGTAGAGTTCTAGGAATGTATAAATTACAGCTTCTATTACCCTTAATGACAACTAAGTGTTTGAGATGTGTTCCAGCATGATGGTAATTCAAACACAGTGTAACTTTGCAGAAAGAACTTATTAGAACGAATGCTGAACCTATTTATAAAAAAGCAAGCTGTAAGATAAATGTGAGAGACACGCGTGGCGTTAAAACTGACATTATTAAAAGGATATGTTTGGGTTCCTTAAGCAGCCATGTTTTCAATCTCATAATGGATGCTTTCTTTTGATCCCTACGACGAGAATGGGTCTGTTGAGTGACATAAACAAATACCACACACAATAATACAGAGCAAAAAGTGTAGATATAACCATGGAACAATGAACAATACCAGTTATTTAAGACGAGGCAGCTGTAGAAAAGCTCCGTTGGCTGCAGCAGTGGATGAAACAAGCGTCTGCAGTTGCTATGTTACCTCTCACTGTTTGCTAACGTGAAACCTCGGATGTCGCTGGCGTTTCCCGTAGCGTGTGGGCTGCTAACTATTTTTAACGAAAACAAAGTCCGTATTGCCTTTACTGTCTGCATCCTGGATCAGCCCTAACTGTTGGCAAGCCATTATTCGTGGTGTAAAACACCCGTGTCATTTCGCTTCTTGAAAGAGAAAGAATTTATATTGCAAACACACACAAAACGGTAGTGGTTGTGAAGGCTAAATTTCAGTCGCTACGTAATCTGGGTCATTCAGGAAGTTTGAGTTATCGCGAGAGTTGGAAAAACTCTCGAATTATCCATCGTCTTCTTTGTTCACTAAATACTTTGTTCACTTAACAAAAAATAAAACATGATGCCATTTGAGTAATTTTAATAAACTAATGCGTTAGATTTTAACCGCTTGGAATTTTTTTGTAATAAAACCTGGGGCGGAACTTCATTCTACTGTAACCGAACAACGGTTTGAACATGAAAAAAACCCTGTCTGTGCATGTGATAAAAATCTAAGACAACATAAAATATGCACGATAACGTATTATTATGGTCTCGTTTTCTGTCGTCCTCACTCAGTGATCTCTTTTATCATGTCATCTTTTCGGGGGAGAGGCGGAGTTGGCTGCGTCCCCTTTTTTGAATTTCGTGTTTTTTCCTCCCCTTGGCCTTTGAACGTTCCATGGTGCCTTGCGTCAGTTTGTAACGAATTTGGTTCGACAGCACAGTTTAGGCGCCATTTACAAGTTAGAGTTTTCCAGTAGCAAAGCGGGTTGGAATGACACGGGTCTGACTTTTGTGGATTATACTCGCCAGAGTTTGGATTAACCAGTAGCTTTTTGGAAATCGTGCTTTTACGCGCGCAGGACGAATTTCGACGGAGCTTGTGCACTTTTGTAAGGTACAAAGAGATGTTTTAGGTGAAGTGAATGTCCGGGTTCCGTCTATTTGCTGAAATGCAGCGCGATTGTTTGGAGCGGTCCCTTACATTTACCACTTTTTCAATACTACTATTAAATTCAGATACGCGGATAGACAGTGGCTCAAAAATTAAAAATGCACCGGAATACACTAAACGTTACTACAGCTTCCCATAATGAACACGTCATTATATTTTTCCATACAGTATATAGAAGGTTGTAGCTCAAAGACAAATTTGTGTTCTACAAACTATTATTTATACTTGCTATACAATGGTTGGCAAATTTTTCACGTAGAACACCAATGCCTAGAATTGGTCTCCGTATTTTTTTAAAAAAATAGCGTTTTAAAAGTTTCACTTGCGCTAAACCAAATTTTGGCGAAAGAGAATGTAACGTATTAAAAATAAATTCCTTACGCTGCTGAGTCAGTGTTAGCTGATATTTTAGCATTAGCCTTGTGGCGTATGTTGACGTAAGCTGCAGCGGCAATAATTTAATAGGCACAATTCAAATAAAAGTTCCTTGAACCCGGGTAAGTCATGTCGTGTGGATGTATTTTTTCTTTCAACTTAATGACCTACCCCTCAAACTTATATATGTAATAAAAAGTCCAAATGAGCCACCACCACAGTCGGCTTATAGTGGTTATTTGACTGCGCGTTTCCATTAGCTTGTGAGATTGGTTGCCTCGTCCACACCTCCGCCCCCAACATAAGTTGGGAGGATGAGAGCCAATAATGTCACGGATCTACACAGGGGAGTTGTTGTAATATAGAAGTTAGAATATTTTGTAGAAATTAACACATTACTCCACTAAGCTGCGATATGAGACATTTAGCCCTCGCCTTATTCTATTCTTCACCATTTCTTGACTTGTAAGGTTTCCTGGCCGTTCACGTTCGTGACGCGCACACCAAATTAAACGCCCCCTCCCCCTCAGAAAGATGCTCAGGCGACGCTGTCACAGGAGGAGTCCATTAATTTCAATCCTACTAGAGTTTATTCGAGAGAATACCACGCACCTCTTGAAACGCTTTGGATTTAATCTTAATAGTAGTCCACATGATGTATTGACGTGAACTCCTCTTATGGATCCGTTTATTAGTTTCGATTTTTAAAAAGTAATTTTTCTGGGAGTAAGGGTTCAAGTCTGACAACAGGCTGGTTGCTGGCTGCGTATTTGATCGACAAAAAGTGCAGTTTGGAAGACTGACAGGCACAAAAACACTCATCATGGATATTCCCTTTTTACCAATGACTCCAGATTTCAAACCATGCCACCTAAAACTGCAAAGAGCTCCACTGCGGCCGCCAAGCATAAAGGGAAAGGGTCGCAGGCTCGGGATGAGTCAGAGGACGAGCTGGATGTACCCCCACCAAAAACCGACAACTCCAATGGTAAAGAGGAGGCACCGCCGACAACTGGCAAGTAACAAAGGCTGTTTTGGGGTCCGTTGATCTAAATAAGTTGTGTTCACTCACTACGTGTGTTGCTGCACTGTTGGAAATCAATTGACACAGCTGTGTTACGTTTTTTGTTTCCAATGTTGATTAAATCTCAGTGTAGTAGGCACGGATGCTTTGTTTTTGTCTAAAGTTCCTGTCATCAGTAATTGTTTGATTTCGAGTCAACTTTGTTGGATGTTGACAACAAACAAGGTAAACGCATATATGGTGTGTCGTACATGTAGAAGGTGGATGTTTGATTTAAATCATATAACTTGATGTAAAATATATTGTGTATGGCAGATGCGACGCGGTTCGGTAATATTTGTGTTTATTTGGATGCGTTGAAATGCTCCACTAAGTGTGTGACTGCAGGGGTTTCATTTACAAACATCGACTCCTTCTCTGGCTTCTTAATACCTCTGTGAGCACAATAGTGTTGGGCAGGTCGCTGTGAGTTGAAGCGACAGCACTCGATTCTTTTTTTGTTTGTTTGTTTTGTTTTTTCAAACGATATTATCAAAATGTAACGACTCTCATGTCTGTGTTGGAGTGCAGTGCTGCATGGGTGAAAGAACCTGGCGTTGGTGATATGAAAATCACACTTGTTTGCTGTCGACGGAATGAATGTAGCTCATCCACTCTCACGTAGTGACGCTGCATATGGACAGCATTGTGTTATAATAATGTTCCACCATAAAGAGCTGTGTTTTCGTCTTGTTTTTTTAGCTTATTAGAACAAAGGATGAAAGAAGGAAGCTTGTCAACTTTCCCAGAGTTGTTGATTGGCCGCTTGTTGCCTGTGTTGTGTTTTGTTTGTTTGTTTTTTGCTTCATCACCCCTCCCCCATGCACCACTGTCCCCCCCCCCCCCCTCAACCCCCCCCCACAGGGGAATACCAGTTGCACTTTTTTCTGTGCCACAGATCCGTCTCAGGGGGAAGCTGCCGAGGCGGTTGATAACCGAAGTTTGGAGGAGATTCTCGGCAGCATCCCTCCACCCCCGCCCCCAGCAATGACCAATGAACCGGGCGCTCCTCGCCTGATGATCACACATTTAGTCAATCGCAACTTTAAGTCGTACGCAGGCGAGCAGATTCTGGGGCCTTTCCACAAGGTACGACCAAAACTGGCTTTTAGCAGAAAACCCTGCAAAACAAACTTAGTTGAGTTGGAGAGCTTTGTTTAAAAAAAAAAACACTGAATATTTATTATTTGTGTGGCTGCAAATATGTTTTGTCTTACTAAAAAAAAAAATCATTATGAACATGAAACACCATCATTAGAGTTGTAGGTGATTTTGAAAATTATAAAAAATATTTACATTTCTATAAGGTTTGTTATTACAATAATTTTGCTGTTAGAAATAATTTAAGGTTTATTACACCACACTCCTCCATTTGACCTGCTACGTGTAAATACAAAGAAAAATGATTTAATGAGTTACTGACTTTTTAAAAAAAATATTACAGTTTATAAAACTATATTTTTTTACCCTTTCTCTACTTTTTCTCACTGCTTTGTAATTATAGGTTAATAAAAATATTTTTAAATACACCCACACAGACTACACTGGCCTTTACACTCTTCCTACTGCTATGTGACTACAAGCATTTCATTGTAAGACATTTTCTAATATGTATATTCCAGTTCATCTGCAATTCTTGTTTTTTTTATTGTTTTTTTTTTTCTCTCCCTGACCTCAGCGTTTTTCCTGCATCATTGGCCCCAATGGCAGCGGGAAGTCCAATGTGATAGATTCAATGCTCTTTGTATTTGGATACAGAGCTCAAAAGATCCGATCCAAAAAGCTTTCAGTGCTGATTCACAGCTCTGATCAACATAAAGATGTCCAGAGCTGTACAGTGGAGGTGCATTTTCAAAAGATCATTGACAAGGTATATACAGTTCAACATTTGTGTCTGCATGAAATACACAGTTTACTGTCATTCCCTTTCACCTGTATTAAACAGCACAGGGATTCTAACTGAGTTCTGATGAGAAGTATTTTTTTCCTACTTCTGTAGTGCCCATGTGCTATTTGGTCACATTTATACTCATTTGAAACAAAAGTGACAGAACACAGATTCAAATCAGTCATGAAAGTTACCTCTCTGTAACCCACGCATACTATTGTAAATTCATAATGTTCCACAATTGTTTCCACAACTTTTGAGAATTTTTTTTATGCACCGTTAAGTGACCTTTTTCCTACTTAATTAATAGCACTGTAACAAATCCATAAAATGGCTGTTTGTTTTGAGTCAAATGCATTTGATAACAATTTATACAACACTATTTTAAATTGTTAGTATTTTTTTAATGTAATTCCGTGTTAAAAATTTTGATCAACTTAAGGAGGTGTAAGTAGCTATTACATTATTCAATGCTCAAGTGTTTGTGACTGATACAGCAACTAATGGAAAATAATAGAAATGTTTTCACTGCACTAACATCATTCTGAGAACTGCAGGATGTTTTCACAAACTTAGTTCCAGACACTTTACATTTTAAGGCAGTGGTGTACACAACAAAATTCAATGCAATTTCTAAAATTGTCAATATTTGGACAAATTGTGTATTTTTATATTTAATGGGAAATTTAACAATTCTATAAAATGTAGTAAATTAAAGAAAGTGAAGACTGTTTATTTTTTATTTTACTTGACTTATTTGTGTTTCAGATTTCATAGATCTCTTTTTTTTCTTTTTTAAATCAGCTTCTCCTAGTTGTTTTTTTGTATTGTAATGTTTTATCCATAACCTGCCACAGTGTATTTCTTTCAGTATGATAAGACTTATCATTTAAGCTGTTTAAGTTTCTTCAAAACTGTTCTGCTCTAAGCTGCTCTCCCCTCTACCCCTCCCCCCTCTGAGCCAGGAAGGAGATGACTACGAAGTTATTCCCAATAGCAAGTTCTATGTTTCCAGGACTGCCAACAAAGACAATTCCTCAGCCTACCATATTAATGGCAAGAAATCCACATTTAAAGAAGTGGGTGTTTTACTTCGCAGCCACGGTATTGATCTGGACCACAACAGATTTCTGATCTTACAGGTAATTGTCATTTCTTCCACTGTCATTTTCTGCTCTGCTTTTAAGTCTTATTTTTTGCTGATCCCTGCTGTAACCAGCGTGTCATAGGTTTTCTACTTTTCATCCTCTGCTCATTTTCTTTTTTTTTATTTTAAACTGAAATTTTTTTGTGGCTCCCTGCCTCTCTGTGGGAGTAACCTGTTGCACTGCAGCTGAAGTGCCCTCTGCCAGCCCTTAGACTGCTATAGCAGCGCATCATGGTTTGAAACGATGTGGAAGAGTTGCGAACCATAATTTGCTGCTTTAGAATTTTAAGGAATAAATGCAGATTTTTTTCAAAAAACATTTTTTTAGACAAATGGAGCAGTGGCTTGACACACACACAGCCAAGTAATTTTAAGTGAGTTGACCCAGCAGAGAGGACAGGTCATGTTGGAGGCCCCCTCCCTTTTCCATCTACCTGCCACGCTTTAGCAGCACGTAAATATTGGCGTGTGAGAATAGACACAACCCCAATATTAGCAGTGCTGCTTCAGTGTGGCAGGATCAAACTCCCTCCATCACCATGGCTTTAATTTTTTTTTATTTTTTCTACAATCTGATTCAAATGCATATGTTACTGTCTTTAAAATTAATTTAAACTGTTTTAATTTGTGTTAAATTTTATTGAGCATGATGCTGCACTTGGCTGCATCCACTTAACAAGTTCCGTTCCTACACCATCTGATTTTTCAACTGTGTGACCTACACATTATTACTGATTAACCCTGGGTTTATAGGAGATGACTCATGTTGTTGCAAAACAAAGCGACTGATAAAATCTTTCTTGAAACCATTAAAAAAAAAGTATAAAAGAATTTGATTTTACAAGCAGAGTAGTTTAAGGTGAATACAGTGTTTTCTGCCCCTCGTGGTTTTGTGGTTATTTGTTTGACCTCATGAGTTCTGGTCAACTTAAAAAAAAATATATATATATATATATTTATTTATTTGGATGCATGTGTGCACGATTCATCAGATTCTCCATGGATGTTAGCTATTCAGCTCTGTGTGTGTGTGTGTGTGTGTCTGTCTGTGTTACATGGCTGCATGACTATAGGAAGAGGTTTTAACTCGTTCTCCAAGGGCACTTTCCAGGCCTCTGGCTTAGAGGAAGCTGTCTATTTTGTGCACTGGTCAGAGCAGTGGATGACGTGGGACACCCCCCACTCCCCTCACACACACACAATACATACACACACTTGTACTTGCATGTTTCAATATTTCTGCTCAGCCTAAATATGAAAAATAAAAATAAAAAAAAGAACACCTTTCAACAAATATTATTTTGTTGGACATTTTTCAACCTGATGCCAAATTCTTTAAAAAAAAGCTAATTATTTGCAAATGTATTTATAGTGTATCTGCCAAAAGTGAAATTTGCATGAACTAAAAAAGTAATACATTTCAAAGAGAAGTTAATACTTTGTTCTATACTGAACTAGTTCTGAGGTTAAGATATGACTGGACTATAAAGAGAATAAAACACTATTTTTTTTAAGTGGGAAAACCTTTGTAACAGGGGAGCTAATCATAACAACCAATGGGATAATCTGTGAGTGGGAAAATATTTTTATTTTATTTTTATTTTCTACTGTAACAATTTATTACTGTGAATAACTACTGGCCTGTGTCCTGTGTATGTGTGGTGTCTCGGATTGGACCTAGGGCGAAGTGGAGCAGATCGCCATGATGAAGCCCAAAGGTCAGACGGAGCACGATGAGGGCATGCTAGAGTACCTGGAGGACATTATCGGCTCCTGCCGCCTCAAGGAGCCCATCCAGACCCTGACTCGCCGGATTGAGATTCTAAATGAGCAGAGAGGAGAGAAGGTGACACACTGTGTTCAAATGCTGTTAATTTGTACAGTCTGAAAGGAAACTGGTGACTCAATTATTGTTTATTTTAAAAAATGTATGTGATGAAGCCACAAAAATGAAGTCATTATATTTCAATGAAAAAAAAAAATCTTTTAAACTCCTGTAGCTGAACAGAGTGAAGCTGGTGGAGAAGGAGAAGAATGCTTTGGAAGGAGAAAGGAACAAAGCTGTGGAATTCCTTACCCTAGAGAATGACATTTTCAAACACAAGAGTCAGCTTTGCCAATATTATGTGTAAGTACAGTAGCGGAGTTTTTGTTCTGTAGATGAAAAATATTTACATAGACTGATTTACAACATAAAGGGAAGAAAATTGTCTAACAAGAGAAGCACAACCACTTTGATGAAATATTTTTTTTGTCTCTGCTCTTTCCATATATTTTGTATTTATGTGGTTGCTCTCAGTCATGATCTTCAGAAGCGTGTGGTGGATAAACAGCAGGAAAAAGAGAACATTGTGGAGAACACCAAGGAACTCACAGAGAAAAATGCAAAAATATCAGAAGATATGGAGAAAATGAACCAGGAGCTCAAAAATGTGGAGAAGTAAGACACTTATTATTTTATAGTGTAATAACCTCTACAAAGGCTTATTTTTAAATATTAAAACACTTTTTCTCCACCAGGAAACAAAACAAGATCAACAAGTACATCGAGACGCAGAAGGAGAAGTTCACCCAGCTGGACCTGCAAGACGTTGAAGTGCGGGAAAAGATTAAACACTGCAAGAGTAAGAAAAAGAAACTGCAGAAGCAGCTGGAAAAAGACAAGGAAAAGGTGTGTTCAAACCCCAGGTCATCGTTTATAAACTTTTGTCACTTTTTGATCATTTCAAAATAATTTCCGACTGTTTAAAGCCAAGTGTTAGTCAGAAGAGCAGATCCCTGAGATTATTTTAATGTTGTTCAGGTCATCTGTTTGTGTAGGTTTTTGTCTCAGATTTGAGAGAGAAATTTTTTTATGCTAAAACTGAACTGTGTTTGTCCTGAGTTATTGAAGAAAGAACTGGTGTTTGGAATGTGCATTGTGTTGCATTAAGGTACAATATTTATTTTTCTATATAGTAGAAGAAATACAAAAAAGAGATTTGAATTTGAATATTGACTAAGATATATTTAAATGGATTTGATTTGTCACTTTCCTTTATCCCAGAATAAAAAGAAAAGACTAGAAATCATTGCAACAGTAATAACTATATCTTGTTGCTACATGTTAGGTGAAGAAAACCAAACACAGCAGCATAAACTTATCTGTGCATATAGTGTGGAGGCAAGAATTGTCAAGGTCCAATGACCTAGTTATATTTTGAGTTATTGACACTGTTCACTTATCACACTGACTAAAATAACTTGAGGAAATAAAGCGAGGAAAAGGGTTTTTTTATTATTATTTGGTTTGTTTTTTACTGTTAGAAACACACTGGTGCAGAATTCTCTTGACAAATGTATTTTAAGATTTTAAAAGGTCATCTCTAAATTGAACCTTAAATTAACGGTTTTACTGTATAGATAATAAGTTATTGCAAATCTTTAGTGGCCAATGAAATTGTGATGTCAGAAAGGCTAGTATGTCCTGAATAAACCACTAGGGGGCTGTGAAGTATTTGAAAAGTCCTGTGTATTGTTTCTCTCCGTCCTGTTCATGCATTTTGGACCAATCCACGGAGAGGATTTCTGTTTTTTTCTTTTTCGTTTTTTTACAAAAAGCTAGGAGTTAATGGTCCCCTCATAACTGTCGATGTATCCCATCATCTCCTCCTCCACCACCTCTGCTCCTCCTACAATGGCTGTGCTCTGGAAATGTTTTGGTCAGAGGCGGGGGGAGGGATGTTGGGCAGAGACGGGCTGGCCTCTGGGGAGCAGTGTTCTGCTGTGTGGCACTCAACTATGGCCTGGCTTATGTAACACGCCTAGCAGCCACATTCACATTTCACCCACAGTTAACCCTACAAAACATAGACAATTTTCACACACACACACACCATTTGTTGCCTTGATTGAGGACGGCAAAGTGCCATACTGTGGTACCAGTCTTAACTGGGTCTCAGTCGGCCCTGGAACTTTTTGTATTTGATTACTGTTGGGTTTCTGTTCTGTCTCTGAGTTGTTGCTCGTAACTGTCACTTGCAAAGAAAAAGAAAAAATTAAAGCCTTGTTTGTAAGGACGCCACTAAAATGATTAAATTTAACCATATGGACTTAAATTAGGTTAATCTGTGTTTAGTGGAAATTAACTTTGTAAGATTTTATTAAAACTATTTAGGGATGCAAGAAAATATTGACACTGAAATATTGCAATATTTCATTTCACAATATTGTAACAATATTTTACTTATCACTGTATCGATTTGTTTTTAATTAACATGCAAATGAACGTTGGTTCATTTTATTTTATACATATCGTATCACCAGATTCTTGTCAATAGACACCCCAAAACAATTTGAATTTGGTACATGTTGGTACGACTGGAATATGTAATCATTGTCCATGAGGTTTATAATAACACATTTTATATCAGTCAACTTCACAAAGTTATGGTAAGCTAATTTTTACAAACAATCAACAATGATTTACAAAGAATTGTGAAGCCAAACATAACAATCATAATTACACATGTTATGTTAAATTTTTAAAAAAAGTGAAGTAAATTTACAGTTATGTTGAGGTAAACTTTACAGTTATAACTTAATATAAAATTCCTACATCAGTTTGTTTATAAAGTTTGACTTCTTAATTTCCAATTCTTACATTTCAATTAAATTTAATACAATCAGATTTATCTGTTTGTGTTTAAACAAAAATCTGAATATATAAATTAAGCTGGGACTTGATTAACATTGTTGGGTGTTTTGTTGTTGTAAACTGACAAACACAGCAGTGATGAGGGGAAATGAAACTGCATGTTAAAGATAGAAATCAATTTCCTCTCCTTTTTTTTTAATATCCACCACTCGTCTCTAACCTCAAGCACAAATTTGTTGGGTTATGGTTATAGCAATATTTTAACAGCTGATGTTGAGAGTCAAGTCAGACAAAGAATCACACGTTATCTTATGTTTTTAACTGGCTCATTTTTCAGCTTGAAGAAGTACGTAATGTTCCGGGCAACAGTGAGACGGCCATCTCTGAGGCGACAGTTCGCAAGGAAGAGCTGGAAAAGCAGAAGGTGAAAGAGGAGGAAAAGCTGGAAGCAGTGATGGAGAGTCTGAAGGAGGAGACCAGTGGTCTGCAGCAGGACAAGGAGGTGTGTGTCTGTTTCTAGTTGTTAGTTTGTTTCCTGCAGAAACAAAATGTTTTGTTTTGGATTTTCTGCGTCAATTCCTCATCTTCTCACCTCTACTTTCTGACCTTCTGTCCAGACCAAAGAGAAGGAGCTGATGGAACTCAGTAAGACTGTGAATGAAACACGTTCACGCATGGACCTGGCTCAGTCTGAGCTGGACATCTATCTCAGCCGCCACAAAACAGCATTGACGCAGCTCAACACAGCCAAGCAGACACTTCAGACGACCTCCGACACTCTGAGGGAGCGGCGCGCTGCCCTGAAGGATTTAGGTGTTAAAATACCAGAGACTGAAAAGCAGCTCAAAAAGGTGAAGTGTTTAAAATGTTTGTTACAATGTTACACTCCTTCCAGTGGACTCACCACCCGCAGGAAGGTTTAGGGAGGTTGGTACGGTGCAATGTGATTTAGGTGGCAACTGTTGCCCCCGCGACCCGGTAACTGATAAGCGGATGAATGGATGGACAATGTTACACTGTACAGTCAACATATTCATATAGCAGTCTGCAGGCTCAATGCTGCGTAGACACAATCTGAGCGACATGGTCTGTTATCATTTTACTACTTATACAGGAATGCATGTTTGTGTGTGTATTCACCTGTGATTGTGTGAAGTTTTCTCTTGAGATGTTCTCCATCTCATTCTCTGAAGGATCAAGCAGAGCTGGAGCAGCTGCTGAAGGAGGACAATGAAACCAGAGGGGTTGTCCGGGAAATGAGGCAGAAGGTGGACGAGGCCAAGAGCTCTCTGTCCTCCAACCGCAGCCGTGGAAAGGTACTGGACGCCCTCATGGAGCAGAAGAAAAGGGGCAAGATCCTGGGAATTTATGGAAGACTGGTAAATAAAAGACACTCTATAACATGATTGTCACAGATACAGGTAGTTTTGTTTTTTTTACGTTGGGTTTTTAACGATCATTTATCACTCATTCTTCCAGGGAGACCTTGGGGCCATTGATGAGAAGTATGACGTAGCCATTTCCTCCAGCTGTGGAGCTCTGGATAACATTGTAGTGGACACAATCGACACAGCTCAGAAATGTGTGACATTCCTCAAAGAGCAGAACATTGGCGTGGCCACCTTTATTGGTCTGGACAAGGTTAATAATTTCCATAAAATATTTACAAGTGAAACTTCAATCTTTAAGCTTCTGTACAGATACATTGTAGTTTTATTGAATACAAACCAAGAGCATCTGTGCTGTGCAGATGAAGGTGTGGGAGAAGAACATGGCTCCCATCAATACTCCTGAGGACAGCCCCCGGCTTTTTGACATGGTGCAAGTGCAAGACCAAAACGTGCGTCCAGCTTTTTACTTTGCCCTCAGAGACACTCTCGTGGCCCAGGACATGGAGCAGGCCACCCGGATGGCTTTCCAGAGGGACAGGCGGTGGAGGGTGGTGACCCTGAAGGGACAGATCATTGAGATGGCTGGTGGGTGTTGTTTTACATTCACACACTTGACTGATCAGTACTATATGAAATGTACTGCGTGCCTGATCTTCCCAGTCTCACTGTGATCTGTTCACAGGTACCATGACTGGAGGAGGAAAAATCCTGAAGGGCAGAATGGGATCTTCTATTGGCACAGAGATCTCCCAGCAGGAGGTGAGTTCACTTACAGTGTCAAAATGTCAGCACATTCTACGTTCTATCGATTTCATTCTTTTGAACATAAAAGGTGTCCTATAGACTAAAATTATTAAAGGAAATACATTTAGTTTGTGGTAACAGCAATAAAATACAAAAAATAAATGGTTAATAACTGTGATGCAAATTACTAATTATAATTTTGTAAAGTTTTACAGAAACCAACATGGCTAAAAAAAATCTTTGCTTGGTCAGTAATGTTGAAGAGGTGGGGGGGTACAACCAGCACTTATGACTGCAGCACTGACTGTTTCCCACTCTACAACATGAACCTTTAACTGTGAGAGTTTGGGTTTGAATAGTCAGGCTACATTTATGGAACATCTATAGGCTGCACGTTCAGGCATTACTGTATAAATAAGTGTAATAACTGCACGTATTCATTACATTCATCCGACCCGACAACACAAACGCTTTGATGTTCTGTCAGTGAAGACCTTTGTTCTCACTCCAACTTGCTCAAACAAGCTTGTAACTG